CAAGAAAAAAATCAAACACTGTAAGAAAAAAATTTCACGTCTCAAAGGCTGCAACAGGGAGCACCCAGAGACAAGATCAGCAGCTCAGTCTGTCTCACGCCATCTGCTGTGAGGTCCCAGAGCCTCTGCTAACTAGACATTCATTAGGGCGATTAAACACATCAACGTGCCCACAGGACTGCTGCTGAGAATACTAAGTGAAAGCCACTTGTCCAATCATAGCCAGCTTAAAACTAAACTTCGGAACAGTAATGTACCAAGTGCCTCCCTTGCTATAGAAATACACTTTCCCTACCTGTGAATGGAATGTCAATACAAATTAACACCAGCCATAAAACACAAACCAAACTGATTCAAATCCCTGGACTGCAAACAATGAACTTTACTGAAGATGCTTTAGACAAGACACATATTTTGATCAAAATTCAGGGCTGGTAGTTCCGTCTCAATACTGATGTTTAAAAATTATCCCAAATATAAGCTTTATAATACACAAAATCACAAGAGAATAGACAAATCTAATCATGATATTAGTGGACTTTTGTAACAAAGCTAAACAACCCAGATCAGAAGAATCATTTGTCTCCAGTTAAAACTTAACCCAGCCTGATTTATCATATGGTCTAAGACAGACCCATATTTTAAGACCTGCTAATTTAGGAAGAAATGAATCCAACCACAAGCAAAATAATATTAAATCATTGTGCCAATTTTTTCTTGTTATCATCGTTTAGGCGCTAAGTCGTGTCCAACTCTTTCGCTGCCCTATGCACTGTAGCCTGCCAGGGTCTTCTGTCCATCAAATTTCCCAGGCAAGAAAACTGCAGTAGGTTGCTATTTCCTTCTCCAGGGGATCATCCCAACCCAGAGATCGAACCCATGTTTCCTGCATTGGCAGGTGGATTCTTTACCGCTGAGCCACCAGGGAAGCCTGTCAATTTTTTTCTACTACACTAGAAAATGCAGATTGTGCAGTTTGGTTCTGGTGAAAGAAGTTAATGTAAACACCTTTTGAAAGAACAAAAATGTAGATATAATCCAGGAACTAAATTCAGGTTCACATAAAATTCAGGCATTGAGATTATAACTACACCAAGACTGATTTTATAACACATTCCAAAGCATCTGTATCCAGTAAGTCTTCCTCCAACTTTTCTGAAAGCAGTAGTTACGAGAACCCATCCCAGTGACATCACTCTAGCTAAACACTTTAAAAGCTAATGGCATATTTTTATCACATATGCTTAAGTGAGCAAATTTCAAATTTGAGAATGGATGTGACTTATGGGAAGAAATAAGTGCCATTGAGAACTACATCTGGCAGGTGGACTAAGGGAAATAAACTTTTGGTTTAAAAAAAAAAGAGAGATTGACTGTAAAGTTTTTAGTAAGGTAAGTTTTCCTAAAAACTATAAAAGCATATGTGAAATGGGAATTCCACTTGTTTCGGGCAGCAACACTGTCTACGATGTAAGAGTACATTCATCTGCCACGTTCTCTCCCGGGTGTCGTGTTCTCCAAATTTTAAACAATAGTTGAAGAAGGGACCGTCCACTAGAGCCACTGGGAAGCCCATAGGGAACCATGTGGCCCCGTACACATATTACCTCGTTGAACCCACGCAAGATTACTAGACAATTTTCACTATTTTAAGTGGAGACTCTGCGTCTGAGTGCTTTAAGGAAGCTGTCCGACTCACACAGGTAATAAGGGAGGGACCACCCACGACATCATAATCACAACACACACACCCATTATCTACACATTGTATCTGACATTCTGAGGTTTCTGACTTATACTTTCTGACTCTCTCAATTAACCTGTTCCTGTGATAGCTGCTGCTTATGTAAATACACTTTTGCATTTGCCCCACTGCGTTGTGATCGTTCACTCATCAACAATTCCCTACCCAGTGATGAGCTTCTGGAGAGAAGAGCCCACCCTCTGCCCATCTCTGGAACCTCAGACCACAGTGCTGCACTCAGCATGCCTGCACGCATTTCCTGTTAGTACCTAACAGTGGTTCTGATGTTGATTTTACTATCTGCTCACAAGTGGTGAACGTGACAGAATCAGCTCCAAGATACCTGACAACCACCATCAGAATCAGGGCAGGCTCTGGCAGAAAGAAGATTCAGTATGATCAGCTTCCATTTGCCGGGTGGTCCTTAAAAGCAGTATTTAGATACTACATTGTATGGGCTTCACTGGTGGTTGGAACAGTAAAGAATCTGCCTGCAATGCAGGAGACCCAGATTCAATCCCTGGGTCGGGGAGGTCCCCTAGAGAAGGGAAAGGCTACTCACTTCAGTATTCTTGCCTGGAGAATTCCATGGAGAGAGGAGCCTGCTGGGCTACAGTTCAGGGGGTCGCAGAGTCAGAGATGACTGTGCAACGAACACCATGTGGTTTACAGGGTTTTCCTTTTTTATGTTTAATAAAGCTGCATCTGTACTCACATTGGTCTACTTTCAGTAGTTTATTCACACAGTACCACACTCATAACACATGCAAGAATGAAGGAAAAAATATGACAAGGTAAATCATCAACAGCATAACATTTTGCTAAAAAGCTACCTTTTCATCATGACTCCAGAGTCCAAAAGGGCAAGAGTATACAATTTATATGCTTTCCAAGGCAAGACGCTAACAGGGTTGGTTACTAATGATACTTTGAGACTGTTACAAAATGACACAGGTTAATATTTAAGGAGACATCAAGTCTTTCAAAATAAAATATTTACAAGATTAAGTTTGTTTTGTTATTCAAGTCTTAGAACTTGCAAGTATAAAAAAAAAGATGACCTTGTATTAACAGTCATTCACAGAATTACTGATACTTTTTATCCTTTTAGGGGACCTTTTACCTAATAAATCTTAAGTGTCTGCGGTTTGTGGCTTTAGTTTTCCTTCCCGTTCTAGAAACTATGTGTCCTTTTGTGGTATTTACCTTTCTCTTCCCATTTTCCACCCACCCCTAACCCCAAACCTTCTTTGAATGTCTGTCTTTACTCTTTCAAGGCAAGGCAGTGAACTGAAAAGGCAAGAACTCTTGAATAAAGAGTTAAAAATGCCAGCATTGTATGATTACCCTCTCCAAAGAAAAGTTAATAATAACTGATTCATCCTGGCTACCCAGGAAATACACAGCAAGGACGTGGGTTCCATGCAAATACAGCCAACAAATTCATCTAGTAATGCCTGCCACCCAGGGACGAGGAAAATAGAAAAAGGCTCATGGAGCAAATACACAAAAGGCGTAGCAAGAAAACAACAGTAAATGCAGTGTGCTGAGCAGGAATCGGAGCTGGATGAAGCCCATGACAGGCCAGGGAGAGCTACAGACAGAAGAGGCAGGTGATACAGAAGTCATCACCCAAGGGGAAGTGACAGAAACGAGCGGGGCTAGGCGGGAAACCGGGACCGACAAGTGATAACAAGACAAGACCGCAGGGGCCGGCTGGGAAGGGGTACGCCCAAGGAAACCGAGGGGAAAGAGAACAGAGAGCATTCTTGACGGGAGGCTGAGTCATAGAAAAAGGCAGGAAGGAAAGACACCAAACAAGAAATTCTGGACAGATGAGAAATAAACACTAAAGTGAGACCAGGTGAGAACTAGGCAGGGCAGAAGGGCAAAAAAAAAAAAAGGAATGAGGTAAAAGAAGCCTCTGTGAAAGGAAATACTAAAAAAAAAAAAAAAAAGACAAATGGTTTCAGGAATTTCACTTTATTAAATTTTAAAGTCTGTTTTGTTTCTGTTTCTCTGTTGGGTAAAACTTGATTAAGAACAATGGTTTCCACAATCTCCAGAGGAGAAAAGATATTGATGAGGTCAACTGACTTAGCAGAAGTTAGAAGAGCTGAAAACAGTCCAATTTACTCATGTCTGTTAACCATCTCAGCTCTAACCCACACAGTGACTTTCACAATGACCACATGCACACACACATCAATGACCTTATGATCAACTGCTTCATTTGTTGATCACAAAAGCTTCCTCTCTCTCACTTTTTCTCTTTTTGGGCTTATCAGTGTGTGGAGAAATCCCTGCTTCTTACTACGGAGGTAAAAAAGAAAGGGCAGAGTAAGAACGTGACCTTTACATCAATATTGCTACAAAGAAGTCTGATGGAAGCTTAAAACAAGGTTAGAACAATAATGGGGAAAAGATGTAAATTTCCTGTAAATTCTACATCTGGGCTCCTACATAACTAAAAACAGAACATCGTGATCATGCTTCATTTCCCTCTAGAAAACAGAGGAAGAAAACAAAACACTGAATAAGAACATAAAAACAGTAAAAAAAAAAAAAAAAAAAAAAAGAATGACAATTACTCTACTCTTGATCCTAGGAAAGTCTGTTCGTGAAGCTATGATTCATATAATTCTTATTTTTTCTTATTTTTAAGCTGAAAAACTACAGTCATCGGATTTTTCCAAAAATCCATGAAAGAAAAAAGCAGGCACATACACAGGCCGGAGGAAAATAAAGGAAATGAACCTGAAGTCACAGAGTTTTGAACAATCACTGAGAAGAAGCAATTCCTCGACATCCGGCACTTTGAGGAATTCTTCAGTGAAAGTCAGCGTCTGGGGCCAGCATTCTATTACAAGCTCCCGTTTCCCCTATTATATCTACTACTTTTCTATCCACACAGAAGCAAACTCTGATTGTAAGCAGATTACCAGCTTTAGCAGTAGAGGAAAAAATTAATATCACACACTAAAGCAATGGGTTAACAAAGACAACGTAAGACACACGTGAGTCGTGCCACTTTGTAACTGCAGAACTATCTTCTTTCAGCTGCTCAAAAATGCTAAACCGCATTGGGTTGCTTCTTGAAATTTGCCTTTTCTTCAGTTTTTTTTAAACCATTCTTCCATGAATATTATATCGGGTCACTTGGCCCTACGGTCTTTTCACAGGCATCTGACATGATTATTTACTTCTGGGAATGCTGCTGTTCCAAGGCACTGGGACACGTCTTGAAGGAACAAACCTGGTTTTCTGTCCCTACTGACGACATGGTGAAAAGAGGATTCTCTAAGCTCAGAGAAGACGTGGAAGCCAAACTGTGCTGTTTCCAAGGTAAGACACCCTGAAAAGAAAAGAAAACAAACAAACAAACAAACAAAAAAACAGTTAAAAATCAACCAGATTTCCAAAAGAAACTCTAATAAAGTAGTGAAAATTCTTGCTAAGACTGAATAAGTAACTCATAAAAAATTTCAATCTTTCACTTCAGTTTTTAATATTCTATAGTTTCCCAAAAAAATGTTACAGGGCATCACAGGTTACATAATAAAAAATACTGCAAATAACTTGCTGTTCCTGAAATTAACAAAAAGTATCCATTAAAATTATAAGGAAATTTTGGTGACTGACATTTTGATCTTTACCTTGGCCAGAACAGAAGACAGGCTTTGAGAAAACACTATTTCTCTGTGTTCATATCTGACTTGGAAATGGTATGAACAAGTGTCATTTATATGGAGCCATAAAGTGAGTTACAGAATTGATGCCCTGGAAAATTTCTTCCAGCCATAAAACTCTGAAATTGCACACTATGTGGTGATAAAATCTTGAAACCAGTGAGCCAGCTGTAGGCAAGCCATTTGACTTTGCCCTGATTCTCTCATCTATAAAATACAGGGCTGGTTCTTCCAACAGGTGGAGATGGGTACCAGGATCACCTGAGGAGGACTTAAAATACAGCTGCCCCCCACCCCCAGCTGCGGCTCTGGGGAGCTCTAATCTCTGGATTAAGAGGAGGCATCTATGGCTGTCACTGTCTAAGCAGCCTGGGTCGTTCTGTCTACACTCGTGCTTAAACCACCGCCATACTGGTCAGGGTGCCACTTACCACCCTCAGAGTCATAAAACTGGGCAGGAGGAACACCATCACCCCAGCTTGACAGGTTTAAGACTAATGAATCACTGTCTCTTTCTCTAAAAATCCCCGTTCAGAGAGGAGGCTGAAACTAAGATTGAGGCTAACCTGCCAGTTGGATAAAAACACTTCCATGTAGATTCTTTTAGCCCCAACTATAGCCTTGGATACTTAAATAGAACACAACTTCGGGCAATATTCACAGCCATCAGCTCCTTTGCTGACGGGCCATCCCAGAATATGAGCTGATGTTAAATGGAGAGCAGCACTGTGTCATTTCCTACTGAAATTACAAGGCTGTCCCCTGACCCCCCAGCAGAAGTGATGTGTCCCCCAGAACACGTACCTGCAGAGCTGCTAACCGGGCCCGGGCCTGCTCCAGGGAACCTCTTCCTCGGGTTCCAGGGCCAGTGGTGGTGCTCCCTATCGGCCGGGTCACGTGGGTTCAGCGGACTCTGTTGGCGCCCAACACCCCCAAAATAACACTGTCGTCTCCCAACTAAAGGGACATAAAACTGGGCTTTCGAAGAATACCATTTTCCTGCATCTTGCTGCGTTCTGTTTGCGGGCCCTCATCCAAGTTCATGTGGCTTCCAAGTGACCTTACTCCAGGTCTGTTACCAAACCAACAGTGCTGTTTTACTTTTTTTTTTAATCCACCAGAGAAATACAACTTGGCTGGAAGAGGCCTCCGGGCCCCAAAAGTGTGCTCGATTGTCCAAGACAAGCTGAAGAAGTGGGTCAAGATTTCATATAAGGACCAGGCAACCGGACAGATGGGCACCGGAAGCCTTCCGTGACACTCCCATCCTGGTAAGTTACATTCACTAGGGGTTTAAAAGTGTTTTTAAAAAGAAAGGTAGTAACGAGTTCATTCAGTACTGTTTTATTTCACATGAGTAGACACTGAATTAGTATCCTAAACAGTCACGGCCCTCTGTCCTTGTGAATCACTGTCCTAGAACTCAACAGGAGTATACCAAGCAAGAGCTCTGCTCCTCACTCAGCTTTGAAATGCAAAGTCCAGTTTCTCTTCTCGGTGCTTCCAGTCACATCAAAAGAGAGTCCCCTCAACCATTTCATTATCAACCTCTTCTGCCTGGAAAATCCGGCATTGCTTCTGTAGCTGAGGGTCACTGCCACCGTGAATGCTACTCTGAAATTTTTAAGAGTTTGTACAGCTGAGAAACTAGGGTCAAGTTCTAGCTCTCTCTTCTATCTTTGATAAAGTAAAGCTCCGGGGAGAATCCACCCTGATTTCGGAGCCAGGCTGCCTGGGGTTCGCATCCCGTCTCCCTGGCTTATTGCTCGTATTGTGATCTCAGGTACGTGGCTGAATCGCTCTGTGCCTCAGTTTCTCCATGTAAAAAATGGGGCTATAATGGGACAACAGGGTTGTTGTGAGAGTCAAATAAATCTAGATGCAAAAGCACATTCTAGGCACTCCATCAAGAGTAGCTATTGTTATTTGCTTTATGTAACTCCAAGTTCTCAAACTGTTCCACATGTGTACACAATGTTTGCTCAATGTTTACCCACTTGAGGCCTGAGACCACATCTTGAGTATTTCTGACATTTCCCCATGGCACCTACTAGTCACTCAAGAGGTAAAAATGATCCTACTTGGTATAGATTGTTATACCAGATGAACAAGGAAGTTCTCAAACACAGACCTGTACAAACATGTATTCCCTACCCTCAAACAGCCTGTATTTTGGGTGGGGAAACAAAACACAGGGAAACACTCCTACAACAATATAAAGCCATAAAAGATTGAATGCCAAGGGCTCCTTGTGAGCTGGGGCCGTGGAGAGGGCGAGCCTGCAGTGACCCTCCCTGCCCCTGGAGGAGAGTGGAACTTCCACAAGAGGCGGGCACACAGAGCGGATTCCGGCATACCTGTTCATTCCACAAACATTCACTGCACACCTTACGCAGGCCGAGATACGGCCACGAGGGACCTAGAAAAGCCCCCAGCACCGCAGGACCTAAAAGGGCACTCACTCCACATGACAGCTGAGCTCTGAAGTAAGGAGGAAGGCGTGTTCTCCTCTCGGATGAAACACAACACCGCTTCAGCACCTCACAGACAGGAGCCAAGGCTGGCATTACGGTCGCTCCGGCTTCCAACAATGGCAAACCCACAGAAGTTAACAACTTTTCCTGTTCTGTACTCTCAATATGCTCCACTGTTTATGAAGCACATTAAAGAGACATTCTCTATTATTTCTGAACACAAATACCATATAAGAGGTTTACAGACACACAGTCAGTGTTGCTGGGAAGGTTTGCGGAGGCCGTGGAGGTCCAAACGGAAGCCCGTTCGTAAAGCCCTGGCCTCTGGCTCCTCTCACCCTCTCCCTTCTCTCCTCTACTAGCGCCTGCCCGCAGACATCAAACCTCTCCCAGGGAAGGGCCTGAAGATGCATGTGGTGGCAGGAATCAGTCAGTCACCACGGGCGGAAGGACTAACACTTGCACCTTTGTCTTCTACATCCTTCCACTGATGCCAAACCTCCACTCATCTCCTCCCGGAAGAGAATGCCTTTGGGTAAAGGAACCTCTCATACATATCGACTGGCAAAAGCGTTCTCAGACCCCTTACTGATGGCGGACCACTATACAAAGATGGGTTGAGTCCAACAGGCTCTCATCACAAATAAGACATGTTTCTGAGAGCTTCCCTCATCCTCTGCAGGCCTTTCAACCGCTTCGACTCTCATAGGATGCACACTGCTGGATCCCACCATCGCCCCTGGAAACAGAATAATCTTTTTTTTTTTTGGTTGCCCTGCACAACTTGCCCGCCCAGCGATGGAAACGATGCCCCCAGCACTGGAAGTACAGTCTTAACCACTAGACTGCCAGGGAAGACCCAGAATAAACTACTCAATTGATGTCCAAACTACTCAATTAAATCCAGTCAAAAATTCCTTAATGCACAAAGTACTGGATTCGAATATGTTTAAGACATTCAAAGGCAAACTAAAAAATGCGGTTAGAACCCCTACAACATAGATCACATAACATTCCTAACCTTCATGTACCCATGAATGTTAGACTCATCAACAAAGTAACAGTCAACCCACTGCTTTTTATTCCCTTGGTTTGGTACTGGAAAATCACCCTTCCTGTATGTCATTTGTTAACCTTTTAATTAGGAATGTCACTAAGAGACTAAACAGGGTAAGAGGAGACCTTTCACCAGGAGCAATTAAGGCTTTCCCAACATTTACTTTTTCTGAACGTCCAAGCACAGCCTGTTGATTGAGTGACAATGACATGTAATGGGAACTTTGATAACAAAAGAGACACAGGGCTTTGGAAACAACTGAATACTCCAATAAAGGGACTAACTGCAATTCCATGCAATTGAAAAGCCACCTTCCAACTTGAAAAACACATTTACTCTGAGTCATTTTATATTGCCAACACCCTTGTTTTACGAAAAACAGAAACAGAAGCAATTAATGTACATATTCACCACTTGGACACATTCAAATCAAACTCGTGTACTGAAGTACTTCAGAGTAACCTCTGTTTATGCAAAAAGTTATCCCAAAGATTAAATGAGGTAAAGCGTGTAGATGATTTGAAACAAGTCTGGCAAACAACCATTACTCAACTTTGCCCAGTATTACTGTTTCCAATTTTCCAACTTTGTAATCATACTAAGCAGTTGTAAAGCATGATTACATATACATAATGTATATAAGCTAATACGTGTTACTACCAGAAATAATGTTTTTATGTTATGCACCAAGCAATACTACTCATCTAGACAGAGATGAGTTTAATTTGAACAGAATGATCCAAAAAGCAGCAGAGAAAACTTGCTACGGGGCAGAATGTTAAATGTTAGCTCTAATCTCTGCTTATCAACTAAGGACACAACCCCTACGTCGTCTAGTGCGAATTATAATCAGCAGTCAGCTGATCCTAGAGAACTCGTTCAAAAGGAACAGTTAAGACCGCAACCTCGTGGATAAGGGGCCATTTACTTGCGAGGCTGCGCCAACCACTGAAATCTGATTACTTCAATACTGACGCTGAAATCCTACATAAATTCATTACATGTCTCTTGCCGGAATTTTTTTTTTTCAAGTCGTTACACACACACAAAATTATACCCCAAAGCCACTTAAACTGACAAGACTACATCATCCTGAAAGCATCCGGCTTTTAAAACATTTCAGTCGCTTCGGCCACGCATCATTTACGATGACAGGGAATCGCTGACGATGTCAGGGACAGCGCAAAAGCCAGTTTGGAGAGCACGTGCTTTCCTAAGTCAATACGAAAAGTAACCCTACGCCCACATCACGAACGGCGGGGGGGCGGGGGGGGGTAAATCTTCGCGTTTCCAAGCTGAATCTCTACCCGGGGCGGGGGCGGCCAAGTCACTCGCCCACCCGCCCACTCTTGCTTTCCGGGAAGAGCGCGCCTCACGCGTCTGGGTAGGGTCGGGAGCGCGCAAGTGCGTGACTCGCCCGCTTGGGGAGGCCGGGGCTGGCGGGGTGGGGCCGCGCGCTGCCCGCCCCGGGACGGGGCTTCACCGCCCACCCGCCCACTCTTGCTTTCCGGGAAGAGCGCGCCTCACGCGTCTGGGTAGGGTCGGGAGCGCGCAAGTGCGTGACTCGCCCGCTTGGGGGTGGCTCCGGGCGAGTTGTGTAACCCTCACCCTCACCGCCGCCGTCACCCCCGGGGCTCTTGCCAAGTGGGAGCTCGAGTGCGCCCAGCACGCGGATGGTGAGGAGTCACCGAGTCTGTGGGCTGCCCGGCACGGGCGCCCTCAGATGCCCATGCGATGCTTCAGCGGCCCGCCGGTTGGAGGCCTGTGACTTTGTCCCTTTCCGCTCCCGGAGCCCCAAACCTTGAGCGCTTCGGAGGATGGAGAGAAAAAATCCAGTCAATAGTGGCGGCGGATTGTGTTGTGTGAGGAACTCGTGGAACTGTTGAAGTGATTCTCGTCTGGATTCATTTCAAAATAACAAAGCTCTTAAGTGAGAGGCGAAATTGGTAACATTTAAGACGTGATGACAAGGGATCTTCAAAATTGAAGATCGCCTGGAGGAGGGCATGGCAACCCACTCCAGTCTTCTTGTCTGGAGAAATCCACGGACAGAGGAGCCTGGTGGGCTACAGTCCATGGGGTCGCAAGGGGCAGACACGACTTAGCGACCAAACCACCACCCCCAGAGATAGTATCAGGAACCCCAAACAGGGAATATATATAGTTTATATATATTTAGTTTATGATGGTCACTTGATCCGAAGAAGAGTTTTAGTTCTCTACATAAGAGTTTGTCAAACTGAAATCTGTCCCTACTTCTTGTTTTGCCAACTTTATCTCTGGATACTTATGTTGGGCACTTATGTTCTGGTTACTTATTTCAGCGACTCCTTGCTGAAATAGTTCAAGCATTAATTTACAGGAAGAATATGTGGGAAAGGTTCTGTTTTCTCAGAAAAGCCCTGCATGACAATCCAAGCGCACGGTGAGCTTGCTGAAATATCCATTAACTTGCCAGGAAGGAACCATTGTAACGCCCCTGGGCATTTTATCCTCTGGAGGGAGGTTGTGTGTACACTTGGTTAGCCTGTGGTGAGTTGGGAGGGGGCTGGTCATAATTCAGGCCACATAGGAGCCGTCGTCTGCCCGGTGTCTCTGGACAGGCTTAGAGTCGTGTCATTGGTCGTGAGGGAGGAATGGGCAGGACAGGCCTACCCCTAGTGCAAATCTTTCACAACTACACTACTAAAAATAACTCAAGTGCGTGTCCCTGGAACAGTAGTGTTACTGCATACTGTCATTGCATACCAATCAAGTTGTAGAACTCTTGGTAAAATTTCACCATTTGTGGTCAGCAGTATTTTAGAATCCTTCTTCAAATATAAGGAGAGACTGGCATATTTGTAGCAGGAGGAAGACAGCTCTATAGGAACACACCATTTATTGAGGGGTGCAAGAACAGAATTTTGTGAAACGCTGAAGCAAGAAATTAACCTGGCTCAAAACAGTCAGATGTTAGAACACAGGTAGGAGACCCTTTCACAGTTGTGTCAGATATAGGGCACCTACAAAATGTCTCAGTAGCCATAGATATGTTTGTTCCTCATTCCTTCTTTCACTTCTTATTAACTCCCAATCCTGAAACCTACCCCACTCAGGAACGGCATGGTAATGCCAGGCCTTCCGCAGCATCTCAAATCAGACATCTAAAGTCATCTCTCTCTCTCTTTTTTAAAACTAATTTTATTTATTTTTGGCTGTTCTGGGTCTTCATTGTGGCTTCATGTAGTTGTGGCGAGCAGGGGCGGGAGGCGGGATACTCTGTATTTCGCAGTGCACCGGCCTCTCACTGGGGGGGCTTCTCTGGAGTGCACGGGCGTCAGGAGCTGCAGCAAATGGGCTCAGCACTTGTGCTTCCTGGGTTCTAAAGCACTGGCTCAAGGGTTTAGTTTCTCCGAGGTATGTGGGATCCTCCTGGACCAGGGATCAAACCCACGTCTCCTGCTTTGGCCGGCAGATTCTTTACCATTGCCACCAGGGAAGCCCTGAAGTCATCTCTTAACAGCCGAAACAGTCATTGTTATTTTACATTTTGGCACCAACGAAAATCTAGAAAAAAATTCTAGATTCCTTACCCATAAAGACAGTTGTAGTCTCTGATCTTTGAAAAGTTTCCCCTTTTAAGGTAGGTTGATTACTTACCATGAATGATGTTACATTCAGAGAAACTCTGGAGTTCAGTTTTAAGGCATAAGAATCGAAACTGTGAATAACAGCAAATCCCTCTGCACCTGCCACTTTCTTTAAAAAAATAAAATCCATCGCCAGTCTTTAGTAGCTAGCAACTGTGTATGTTTAATGATTTAGTAGTCTTTAGATCTTGCAGCTATTAAATTTTATCATTTAAATTCTCTTTTTATTTGTCTCTAATTTTCCTGAGACCAATCTTTATTTTCATCAGACACACATAGATGTTTCAGAGACTTTACTCTTGCCCTCAGTGTCTAGAATTTAAGTTAAATGGCCATTCAGTGATACTCACTTTATTATAAATGAATCCAGTCTGTCCCCAGACCTCTGCTAGAGATTGCAGGTGTAAGAAAGGGGCCAATAAGCCACCTGATCTGGGAGCAGACGCTGGGGAAATTTCATTTTAGGCAGAGGCAAACTGTAAGAAAGAAAACAGACTGCCCTTAATGTGCACTTATTAACTGAGACAAATCTACATTAAAAAACATTTTGGAGGCTCATAGGACAGATATTTCAGTGGAGGAATTTATGCAATGCTTTCACTATTTTAGGATGTCTAGAAAAAATTGTAAAATGATTTCTTAGACATTCCACATACCCTTTTTCTTGGTATTAGAAAATGACTATCATTAGAAACTATAGTAAGTTATCACCTGTCATTTGTTCAGTTATTCTCCTTTTGATAGAGTGTCTAAAACAACACTTCTGAATTTCTTCCACATATTAAATCATTTATACTGACTTAGTTGAGATTTAACACAAGGGAAGAACTTTCTCTTTCAGTGAACTTCCCAACAGCAAGTGAGAAACCAGAACTCTTTCCCTCACTGCTAGATACACTTGCTGTTATCACTCTTATTTTCTGTGGGAATGTCCAAAGAATGCACTTCCTTGAATAGAAGTCACAGCTGTGTAAATAGCAAAAAGTGACTTTTTATAGCTTCTTTCAACCACATTTGGCCAGGAGGCCAAGGCTGCACAGATAAAGCTGCAGACATGTTCGTTTTCCAGGTGCATCAGGGGCCTGCAGAAGAGCATGCTCCTGGCCAGCGCATCTCGTCAAAGCCACTGTCAGCAGTCCAACACTGTGCTGTTCTCTTAGCATCCCAGCCAGTTGTGTGCGTCTGTGTCTTAAATATTCAGGTGCATTTGCCTGGGTAACAGTTACGGGTTGGAAAATGTGCAGTGATATTTCAACCCATATCCTTTTAGAAATATTTTATTTTAATCCCCAAGTTTGAGCTTTTATGTAGGAGCTGTGATGTTTCAAAGTCAGAAATAAGGGGAAATGCATTCCGTGCCTTAGTGATCTAGATCAGGGTTGGTCAACTTTTTCTTGCCTTTTTTTAACTTAATTTTTTATTTTATTAATTAATATCCTGGGGTATGAGTGGTGGTTTACAATATTGTGTCAGTGTCAAATATACAGCACAAGTGACTCAATCATACCTGTACGTATAGCCAGTTTTTCAGATTGTTTTCCAGTATAGTTTATTACAGTGTTGATTAGCGTTCCCAGTGCTACACAGTAGATCTTTGTTGATTATTTACTATATAGTGGTGCATATGTATCAATCCCAAACTCCTAACGTATCCCTCCCCAACCCCCCTTCCCCTTTCCCCTTTGATAACTATAAATTTGTTCTCTAAGTCTGTGAGTCTGTTTTCTGTTTTGTAAGATTGTAAATATTTGAGGCTTTGAGGGCTGTGAGGTAAAAACAGAAGATACTGGTAGTACTCTCAACCATTTAGAATGTCTCCGTTGGAAATGTAAAACCATTTTTGGCTCCTGGGCCACACAGAGGCAAGCAGGGGCTGCCGCTGGCCCAGGCCCTCTGTTTGCCTGCCTTTGTCCCTCCTTCACCATCACCCGCCCTCTTTACTGTCTTCCAGGCCCATGCCTGGGGGCTACGGAGTGATGGGGGACGATGGGGCCATGGACTACAGCGTCCACGAGGCCTGGAATGAAGCTACCAACGTGTACCTGGTGGTGATCCTCGTCAGCTTCGGGCTCTTCATGTATGCCAAGAGGTAAAGGCTTGAGGTTCTCTGGGTTGATGATAAGATCCTAAGCATTTACAAGTTTTGCAGGTTGGTTGGTTTGATCTAAATTCAATGCACAAAAACGATTTCACCAGCATTTTGGTTCCTTCTATGAAAGCTGTCTCTCCTCGGCCCTGCCCTCAAATACCAGACCCCACGTCTTGGCTTGGAAAACCCAGCTGCTCCAAGAGACGGGCTGTGAGTGCAGCTCTGGGCTCCCAGGCCAGCTGCTCTGTACTCCCATTCTGTCACTTCTGATACAGCTCAGAGTTATCACTCAGCCCGTTCACTGTCGCCCTCGGATGGGCACATATTTTTGGCCCGTGTCCCTGAAATGCACAAACACTAACTCCTACATGTTCAGCACTTCTGTCCTCGCACGTTTCAAGCTTTCCCTCCTGTTCCTTACGCATGACTGTGTCCCAGAACTTAGTGAATGATGTCGTATGGTCTGATTTCTTGTCTGTCCATCCCGCAAACACTCAGTCCCCCGAGAACAGGGACTTTTGTTTAACCTTTGTGTCCCTGAAGTGGCGCATTAGTGTAAATCCTCCACAGATACTTCCTGCCATCATTCCAGACACTGTCGCGCAGTTTAACTGTCCTTTTCCACTCTCCCTGACTCCCTCAAGTACAGTGAACAAAACGGGAGGGAGGTGTTGCTCTGAAGAGGAAGAACAGCAGTAGTTGGATTGAGTTGCTTCTGCTCATAGCCACGTGCTTTGTGACGTCATGTACCAAGGTCAGAGGCATCAGACAGTTCAGGGTAGTTAGTCATCCAGGAATAATTGCTGCCTGGCCTGGGAAATAGTTCAGATTCACACTGCCTGTGGGACACGCAGGCTTGCCCTTCACAGCCCCATGAACCCTGAGCCGCTGGCCTCCTGGACTCCAGGCTGGGGGCGGGGAGAGAAAAGCCCCCAGGGGTCGCCCCAGGGCTACTGGCAGGTGACAGCGGTCCCCTAAAAAGAGCTGCCACCTCCTCCCCATCTCACCGTTTTAAAAGCACAGACAGGCTGCTGTTCACTTTAACTAGATGACCCCACTAAGGCCATGCTACTCTATTTAAGAGATCCTTTTATTCATTGTTTCCCAGAATTCAGGTCTGATCACCTTCTGTTTATTCACTACCCCCAGTAAATGAGCTTTATTTGCATGACATGACAGAGGAAAAAAATCGTGCTTTTTTTTGTCTGTGCATTCTTGTAAACAATAGGGCATTTTTTGTGGAGATGAGGGGAGACACGTCATATGAAGTGGGTGTATTTAGTCACTGCTTTTCCTTTCTTATAACTCTGTGACTATACATGTACAACTTCTTACTTTAGTGAAAGAGAGAATACTTGAGCCAAGGGACAAAACCGAAGATGGACTCATGGCCACATATGTCCTTTTAATGCAGCTTCTGGTTGCTGCAATAATGAGAGTGTTACAGTCCTATAGCTGTGAACACAGATCTCTCTTCTGCATTGTTTTTGTGTTTTAGGAATAAAAGGAAAATTATGAGGATATTCAGTCTGCCACCTCCAGCAGAAACTCTGTCAGAGCCCAACTTTTATGACACAATAAGCAAAATTCGTTTAAGACAGCAACTAGAAATGTACTCCATTTGTAAGTATACTCTGTGCCTAATTACATACATGTTGTTCAGTCGCTCAGTCATGTCTGACTCTTTGCAACCCCATGGACTGTATCCCACCAGCCTCCTCCGTCCATGAGGTTTCCTAGACAAGAATACTGGAGTGAGTTGCCATTTCTTCTCCAAGAGGATCTTTCCAACCTAGGGATCGAACCTTCGTCTCCTGCTTGGCAGGCAGATTGTTTATCACTGCACCACCTAGGAAGCCTTATTACATACATAAGCATGTTTAATACATACTTTTTTTATTTGAGTCTAGTTTTCAAAGGTTATCAGAAATAAATGATGGTGGCACAAGGAACTATATTCAATATCTTGTAACAAACCTTAGTGGGAAAGAATATGTATATATATGTATATGTGAATCACTTTGCTATACTTCAGGAACTAGCACAACATTTTAAATCAACTATACTTCAGTGAAAAAAAAAAATTTTTTTTTTAAATAGCTGATAATAAAAGCATAGTACCCAGTTTGCATGAAGTAAGTGCTTCAGGACCCTTCTCCCACATGGAGCCCTCCCCCTGAAAGGAGCCCTAGCAAGCTGTTCATGTGATCACATTTTTGAAACTTCAGCAAAAGTTAGATGTTTTGCTAGCCGATGAGACTGCTGTCTGGTCCTCCTCTGACTTGCCTCATGTGCAGCGGCGTTGAGGTGGCCACGAGCACTTTGAGGATCCAGCTAAGGGGAGGTTTTGAGTTGAAGCTACTTTTAGTTTGGGTTTGAATTTTGTGTTTACAGAGTTTGCAGTCACTTCAGTTTCAATTAAATGACGGCGTACCGCAGCCACATTATATGTGTATAGGAGCAGCTTCCAGGCCGGAGGTTATTAACGTGTCCTGTGACACCGAACACTGGGTGTGTAGGTGGTGGAGAAGAAGCAAAGGTTAAAGGGCACAGAGCCAGGGTGAATTGTACAAACACGCCACAACCTCTGATGCCACCATTGAAAAAAACGAGGTGTGGCTTCCATGGTGTGTCATTAAATGAGGAAGGGCAGGATGCAGTTGTATATGTGCTAGGGTGCCACTCCTTTAACACTGAATGACCGCAACATATGTGTGTAGTAAAAATGTTCTATGTCATTTTTCTTATCGACGTGTAGTTGAGTTACGATGTTGTGTTATACCTGTGTCTGCATGTATATAGCCCAGTGATTCAGCTATACATTTATATATATATATATATATATATATATATATATTCTTATTCTTAGCATAGTTCCTTGTGACCAACAAGATGACCTTGTTGGTCATCTTTTATGTTCAGTCATGTGCATATGTTAATCCCAACCTCCCAATTCATCCCTCCACCAGTCCTTTATGTCTGTGGGTCTACTTCTGTTTTGTAAGAAAAGTTCATTTATATCTTTTTTGTTTTTTTAAGATGTCACATATCGATGATATTTCTTTCTCTGACTTCACTTAAAGGGACGTTTAGATTGCTTCTGTTGTCTTGGCTATTATAAATAGTGACCTTGGCTTGGCTGATATAAATCATGCACCTATGAACATTAGGGTACATGTGCCTTTTCATCTCTCTGGTTTTCTCTGGATATGTGTCCAGGAGTGGGGTTGCGGGATTGGTTATCTTTAGTTTTTTGAGGAGCGTCCATCCTGTTCTCCATAAAGGTTGTACCAGTTTACATCCCACCAAGAGTGTAGGAGGGTTCTGTTTTCTCCACATTATTACTTACAGACTTTGATGCTGGCCATTCTGATCAGTGTGAGGTGGTACCTCTTTGTAGTTTGGATTTGCCTTTCTCTAATAATTAGTGACATTGAGCATCCTTTCATGTGCTTGTTGGCCATATGTTATGTCTTCTCTGGAGAAATGTCTGTTTAAGTCTTCTGCCCATTTTTTTGATAGGATTGTTTGTAAAAATGTTCTGTATAATTATGCAAGCCTGGAGGAAAGTTTGGAAAGATACATGTGAGATTATTAGCATTCATTACCTTGATGGGGATGCTGTGGAACTCAAGGAGAAAAGACAGTATTTTTAAAAGAAAGCTGTCTGCAGTAAAATATTAAATGTGAATGTGTGCGTGCTCATGGGCATAAAAGAAGTAAGAAAGAATGATCAGCAAGATATTACTAGTATATCTCTCAGGAGACTGGAATTTCAGGTGAAAAGTAGGAAAAAACACACACATATATATATATATAATTTTTATAACACAAGTAGAACTTCTAAAAATTCTTCAGCATAAATTTCACACTGAGCACTATAGACAGCAGTTCCTCTGTGGAAAGGGGCTGCAGGGCTGATCAGGTGGGAGGAAGACACGCTTTCAGTGTTTCCTCTTGGGGTCCCTTTTGCATCTTGTATCATATTTATGTGTGTTACTAGTTCAGAATAAGAAGTAAAACTGAATTTCACAGAGCAGCGTTATTCATAGCAGCCAGAAGATGGAAACACCCCAAGTATCCTTGAGTCCTGGGTGGGTCCACAGCCTGTGGTCTGTACATGCGCAGGGTGTCATCTAGCCTTTAAAGGGAAGGGAATTCTGACGGGTGCTACAGCAGGCAGGAACCTCGAAGACATGATGCTTCATAATTACTCTTATCAGGAAGCAAAGGAAGCCAGTCACAAAATAAACAAATCGTGTGTGATTTCACTTCTGTGAAGCAAATTCCCAGAGGCGGAGCATGGAGTCCTCACCAGGAGCTGGAGGAGCAGGGAGCGGAGGGGAGAGGGCAGTGTGGGGTGGCAGGCGGGCACCGCTGGTGGCAGCGCAGCAGTGTGCAAGGAGCTTCTGCCCTGAGTCGCCGAAACAGGGCGCAAATGGCAAGTTGTAACGTTTTTGTATTTTACCTCAAAAAAAAATCCCCAAGAAAACCTAAGTATTAAAAACAAAAACACAGAGAGCAAGAAGTCCTGTATGGAAAATTAAAGGATTAGGCTTTCCTTGATTCCTACTCAAAACAAAGGTTAGTGGGAGTGCCCTGGTGGCCTAGCGGTTAGGATTCAGTGCTTTCACTACGGAGGCCAGAGTTCGATCCCCGGTGGGGGAATCTTAAGATCCTGGAATGCCGCGCAGCGCAGCCAAAATACAAAAACAAACAAGAAACCCCCAGAAGTTAGCTTGCATCCCCCCCAAAGAATATTTACTAGCATAGCATATACAATTTTAAACCCAGTGTACCGTTCTTTTTCTTCTATAATGAGAATGGCATAATGAAATTTGTCCAAATGCCTGTATTTGTAAGGTGTGTTAGTTTTCTGCTGCTGCTCTATTACCACAAATTCAGTGGCTGACACAGCACAAATCTTACAATTATAGGTTAAAAGTCCCACAGCAGTTTCACTAGGCTAAAATCATGGTGTCAGCAGAGTTTTGTTTCTTTTTGGAGGCTGTGAATGAGAGTGTGTTTCTTTGCCTTTTCCAGCTTCTAGAAGCTACCACATTGCTTGGTTTGTGGCCTCATTCACCCATCTTCAAAGCCAGTGGCATCGCGTCTTTCTGATCATTCTTGCATTTTTATAAGCTCCCTCTGTCTCTGAACTCAGCCAGTAGACGTTCTCTGATTTTCAGGGCCCCTGGGATCAGGTTGGGCCAAATAACCCAGGTGATTATGTAATCCCCCATCTCGACGTCCTTCATCAAATCTTTAAAGTCCCTTCTGCCCTAGAAGGTAACATATTCACTGATTATGGAGATTAGGATGTGGACATCTTTGGAAGCTGTTGTTCTTATAAATAGTGAGTATTTGCACTTTTAATGAGTCCCCTCACATTGCATCATTCTTACTGTTGATGACATATCTAATCGTGATTTAGTCTCTAGGTTCAAGAAAGAAGCAAACAAAATTCTCTTCCTTAAAGAGTGAAAGTGAAAGTTGCTCAGTCGTGTCTGACTCTTTGTGATCGCATGGACTATACAGTCCATGGAATTCTCCAGGCCAGAATACTGGAGTGGGTAGCTGTTCCCTTCCCCAGGGGATCTTCCCAACCCAGGGATCGAACCCAGGTCTTCTGCATTGCAGGCGGATTCTTTACCAGCTGAGCCACCAGGGAAGCCCCAGAATACTGGAGTGGGCAGTCTGTCCCTTCTCCAGGGGGTCTTCCTGACCCAGGAATCAAACTGGGGTCTCCTGCATTGCAGGCAGATTCCTTAAAAAAGGACCCCCCCCCCCCCAAATTGTATAAGCTTTAGGCCACAAAAGTCTGGATCCACCCTGAGTATATAAACAAATAGTATTTCTTCCTTGGCTGGTAAAAACTTAATGAAGAGACTAAAAAGCTTCAAAAGCTAAACCATTCACAAGACTTTGGCTAAGTTAAGAAGGTTAAGATCTTCAATAGTTATTTCTCAGAAAAACAAAAACAGTACAGAATTGCAAATCTGTTTTTTCTTCTTGTTTATATTAATGACAATGTTCAGTAAATGTCTTAGGCTTGTCATTTAATATATAGTCAAATTCTTTATGATGTGGGCAAAAGCATTATTAATCATTTATCTTGAGGTGGAGATGGAGGATAAGAAGGACATTACAAAATGTTACTTTGAGTTTAGTAGCTTAATTAGTGTTTACCCTATATTTTGGGCTTCCCAGATGGTGCTAGTGGTAAAGAACCAGCCTGCCAATGCAGGAGACGTGGGAGATGCAGATTTCACCCCTGGATCAGGAAGATCCCCTAGAGGAGGGCATGGCAACCCACTCTAGTATTCTTGCCTGGAGAATCCCATGGACAGGGGAGCCTGGCGGGCTACAGTCCATGGGGTCACAAAGAGTCAGACGTGACTGAAATGGCTGAGCATGCACACACTCTGTATTTTAATGTTCTGAATAAGCCAATGTACAAAACAACAATAATAACAAACATTTGAAAATGGACATCAGCACTGATGAGAAATTAGAGGATCACAAAGTATCATAAATTTCCTCTAGTGAAAAAAAAATTGTTTAATTCTAAGCTGGTTCTTTACTGAGAATCATGACTTGGCTGTAATTTAATGATGTGAGCTCATAATGATTTTGCGACTTTATTAATTGTATCTCCTCTTTTCTTGTTTTTTGTTTTGTTTGTTTCCTAATAGCCAGGAAGTATGACTACCAGCAGCCGCAGAGCCAAGCTGACAGTGTGCAGCTCTCGCTGGAATGAAATCTCGGAAAATCAGCGGCATAAATGCTTGTTGTTCAAGAGTGCAGTCTCCTCCCGCTACTGAATCATGGCCAGCGTTTTGGGGTGTTTTTTTTTAACTTCTGTCTCCATAAAATCACTTTGTGACTTTCCCCCCAATTTTCTGGTGTGTTTGGTTTCGCTTTTTAAAATTTCATCTCCAAATCATTTGTTCAACAAATTGAAAATACCTCCAAGGGCCTGAACACAGAGAGTCTGGGAAGGTAAACGGTCACCAGAGATGGCGATCTTACCTTGTGAAGACCTGCAAGTCCTTCAGAATGCAATCAGGAGCAAAAGCACAAGAGTCTGGAGCCTAGGCCACTTCTGAACTTTTTCGCAAAATTAAAAAATAAAAATCAAATCATTGAAAGAACTTCCTCTTCGATTGTGCCGTGGGATAAATGTCATATGGATAAGGGACTAACTAGCTTGTATTCTTGTGGCTGTTGTTACCTGAGATTGAATTAGCCATCTTTGCTTCTTCAGGAGTCACACAGGAGACTGTCTTTTCTGCACCGTGAAATCCTGATGCACACCCCCCTCTAGTTGTGGAAATTTCCTGGGACTGAAGTTCATTCCCCTTCATGGTGTTCCCACAAGTTCCTTCCCCCAGAAGAGTCTTTTTCTAGCCATGCCAGGGCCGTGCTGCTGAATACATGGGCACCTCTAACTGGTGCCAGCTACTTGCTTTGGGATCTTATGACTACAAATGTTTCACTGTCTAGCTTCTTGGGCTTTTTTTTTTTAACCGTAATAAGCTTCCGTATAGACTCATATCTTGTACCATTTTTGTGTGGAAAACTTCATGCTGAAAACACTGAAATGTTTTTGCCCAGTTTTTCATATTTATTTAAATAAAAACTGATTGGAGGCAATAGCAGGTACATTTAACCGTCCATATAACTGTTCAAGAATTTGTTTTCAGACTTCCCTGGTGGTCCAGTGGCTTAGACTCCATGCAGCCAATGCAGGGAGCCCAGGATTCAATCCCCTGTCAGGCAACTGGATCCCACATGCCACAGCTAAAGATCTCGAATGCTGCAGCTGAGACCCAGAGCAGCCAAATAAACATTAAAAAAGGGAAAGAATTTGTTTTTGAATCAAAATGCAATTTGAAAAGAGTTAATATTTTAAATATTATTGCCTTTTCCTTTACAATTATGAAGTAAAGAATATAAATTTTATTTTGTTGGGGTTTTTTTTAAGTTATTGCATTATTTTGGGTTTTTTTTTTTTAAGGTGGACCATTTTAAAAGTCTTTATTGGATTTGTTATAATACTGTTTCTATTTTTTCTGTTTTGGTTTTTTGGCCAGGAGACATGTGAGCTCTTAGCTCCCTAAACAGGGATCAAACCTGCACCCCTTGGACTGGAAGGCAAAATCTTAACTACTGCACCACCAGGGAAGTCCCAAGAATATAAATAAATGAAAAAGTTTAGGCCAAATGAAATCATTTCAGGGAAATTGCACTTACTTTAAAATGTATGTCATTCAAAAATGTATATATTTTACAAGGTGGATTGTTGACCAAATGGAATAATTCTTTCTTAACCCACAGATGAATTTGAATTCCCCACCTGTACCCAGAATGAATACATAGACTGAAGAATTGTAAACAGTGGTAATTATGGCCTGGGGTGAGCAGAGCAGGAAAAGAACTGTCTCTTAAACTTTGCTCATACGTAATCAGGAGTGGGAATGGTTCACATGCTGTCACTGATGTGAGGCGCAAACCTGGACCAATTGTGAAAACTGGCTATCTCAGCTGGTTCGAATGAACTGTGTACCTAAATAAATATAAATCACAACAAAATTGATGGTGATGGTTTTTTATTTGTATCCACTAGCCATGAAATCAAAAGACGTTTGCTTCTTGGAGGAAAAGCTACGATCAATCTAGACAGCATATTAAAAAGCAGAGAGATTACTTTGCCGACAAAGGTACATCTAGTCAAGGCTATGGTTTTTCCCGTGGTCATGTATGGGTGTCAGAGTTGAACCATAAAGAAAGCTGAGCACCGAAGAACTGGTGCTTTTGAACTGTGGTGTTGGAGAGGACTCCTGAGAGTCCCTTGGACTGCAAGGAGATCAAACTAGTCAGTCCTAAAGGAAATCAGTCCTGAATATTCATTAGAAGGACTGATGCTCAGGCTGAAGCTCCAATACTCTGGCCACCTGATGTGAAAAACTGACTCATTAGAAAAAACCCTGATGCTGGGAAAGATTGAGAGCAGGAGAAAGGGACGACAGAGGATGAGATGGTGATGGCATCGCCAACTTGATGGACGTGAGTTTGAGCAAGCTGCAGGAGTTGGTGATGGACAGGGAAGCCTGGCGTGCTGCAGTCCATGGGGTCGCAAAGGACACAACTGAGCAACTGAGCTGTGCTGTAGACAGATCAGATGGCTTTTTATCTGCACCCACTAGACGGTGAACCCTGGGCTCTGGCGAGTGAGAGAGCAAGATTCCTCCTCGTTTTTCTCTAAAGCCTGATGATGGGAGTCACACCCCCTACCAGCAGGCACAGTGAGGCCGCTTTGAAGTTTCTTCTCTGCTTCCACAGCTGAGCGGGGAAAGGGGGAAGCCCTGCGGGCACACTTCAAAGCCACACCAGCTGACTGTCCTGCTTCTGCACCCCCCTCGCCCCCGGGAATCCATCAAGGGTCCACGACGGAGCTGTTTTCTTTGGAAGAAAAGTGACATGACTAATAAACAGGTCACTAACACTTCACTGCGTGAAAGATGCGAGGTTAGCGCGATGGGGCAGCTCCCCTGGCTGCACAGCTGGGCCAGCCCGCGGCTCCACGGGCACAAATGTTTGCTCTCAGCCTTACACCGTTTCCAGTAGAGTTCTTGAGGATTCACCAGAAAGTAAGATGCAGAGTTTATGGTAAGATGGCTGTAATGTTGGAAATACATTTCAAGTATTCAGTGAAAGTAAGAGAGAAAATGGTAATGAAAGTAACTTCAGCTATTAAAAACAAATGTATCTTAGTTAGACACTACTATATATAATGTATGTATTATATATGTATTCCAGTACTCTTGCCTGGAAAATCCCATGGACGGAGGAGCCTGGTAGGCTGCAGTCCATGGGGTCGCGAAGAGTCAGACATGACTGAGCAACTTCACTTTCACTTTTCACTTTTATGCACTGGAGAAGGAAATGGCAACCCACTCCAGTGTTCTTGCCTGGAGAATCCCAGGGATGGGGTCGCACAGAGTCGGACACGACTGACGTGACTTAGCAGTAGCAGTAGCATATATAAAATAACATGATATCACTTATATGTGGAATCTAAAAAAAGTTATACAAATGAACTTATGTACAAAACAACAAAAAAAAGACACAGATTTTGAAAGCAAACGGTAACCAAAGGAGAAATGTCACGAGGAAGGATAAATTAAGAGTTTGGGATTGACATATGGATGCTGGAAAGCTGGAAATAAAAATGACATTTGGCTTATATCCAACCTTATGCATAATAGCGAGACTCACAGAGGAGTGACTGGAGCTTAGTCTTAATGTTTCCCATGGGATTCCCTAATAAAGTCAAAGCCAGACAAAACTACAAAGCAAGAAGCATCTCCCACCTGTCTTTTTGCCCCCCTTCAGCCTCTTTCCAGTCTGTATGGGTGACGTTAAGTCTTGATTAAGGATTTAAGAGTGAGGATGAGGAATTAACCCAAGAACTGAGGTGAGCCCTACATGGAAGCTTCCAGCAACAGGTTGTCTTTCTCCTACCCTGGACCTCTCACCCCCAAATAAACAAGCAACCTTTAACACTGGAGTCTGCTGACCTTTATTTTATTTACATACAGTAAAAAGCTAAAGCTGTTTGTGCGGCAGCCGCACCCAAGGGAGGAAGGTGGTAAGTCAAAGCGGAAGCAAGTAACCGTCTGGGCTTACTGGGCGCCTCTCTGTCCCAAGTGTGATACTGAAGGACCACTGTGCTGTCCATGTCTTTTATTTTTGATGTTTCTTATTCCAAAGCTGCTTTCTTCTCTTCCAAATCAAGAAGCAACAGAGGTCTCATTATTACGAAAGAGTGGCTCCATCCTGGGGATTTTCATGAAAGAAATATTTTGACAGATTTCAAACTAGCTGAAGAAAGCTGAGAATTTTTAACTACAACTAATGTTGATGTTGTTAAACTCAACTGCAAATCCCTTTGACCTCAGAAATCTGAAAAAAAAAAAAAAGTCCCACATGAAATATTTATGATATAACAAGTAAAGGTATTTTATTTATTTGGGGGGGAGGGATTATGTCTCTGAATAACATTTTATTTTGAGGTTTAAAAAAACCAGGCATATTTAAGTTGACTACATGCCAATATGAGCTTCCAGGGTAGCTCAGATGGTAAAGAATCCACCTGCAATGCGGGAGACCTCGGTTCAATCCCTGGCTTGGGAAGATCCCCTGGAGGAGAGCATGGCAACCTACTCCAGTATTCTTGCCTGGAGACTCCCCATGGACAGAGGAGCCTGGCGGGCTGCCATCCGTGGGGTTAGTTGCAAAGAGTTGGACACGACTGAGCGACTAAGCACACAGCATGTGCTAATATAAATCTTATATCTGGAATGCTTTCTAGTAAATGGTAGCTAGTCCAGAGTAAATGCTTGGTAGATAGTTGCTGAAATAATTAACTGACATCAACTTATAAAATTGATGTTTATTTTTTGTATTTTTAAAATAATTCTGCTTCTGGTAATGGAGGAATAATTGTGTCAGACTCTCTTACAGATAATGAGTTCAGAGCAAAACATGAGAACAATTTGAAAGAAGCCATAAACAGAGAAATAAGGAAGAAGATAACCCTTGAAAGAAGGGACCGCAGTGGTTGAGATTTGTGTCTATATGGGTTTTTTGCCTGAAGGTGTTTCTTAGTCCTCAGTTGAGAATAAGTAGAACTCAAGCAGAAAGCTACAGTGAAATCGATTTGACAAACAGGATAGAGTTCAGAACTTCTAAACTGAAAAGTGAGGAAGAATATCACAGAAAAAAGTGAATCACAGAAAAAAATGAACCCCAAAAGGAGGAACCCTGAAATCTGCATATAAATTCTGCCAAGTCCTTGGCTGATCCCCGAATCTACATGAGAGACCCCAAGGAAACTGGCAGAAATCAAAGAGCTGAAAGAACTAAGGATGGCATTCAGCTGGTGCTTACCATTGACCAGGTACAATTTGAATCTAGCCAAATTTTATTATCTGCTTGAACAACCCCAGCACTTCTCAGAGGAAATTAACAGAACCTATAGTCTCTAATACCATGTTATCCAAAATATCCAACATATAATGAAGAAGAACAGGAATGAGAAGAGCAGGAAAATGTGATCCATATTCAGGAGAAGAAACGGGACAATATGGTCCATAGTCAAGAGAAAAAATTGTCAAAGCAAACTGACTCCAAGATGATCTGGATGTTGAATTAGCAGACAAGAACTTCAAAGTAGCCATGACAAAGATGTTTGGATAAATAAAATACTTTCAGGCAAATGATAATCAAAAGGCTTTATCAGCAGCTGACCTGCTGAACAAGAAATACTGAAGAAAGTTCTTTGGGGGGAAAAAAGATGAGAAGTGCTGGCACCGGGAAATGCAAACCTAAGCAAATTCTAGGCATAGTGAATAATCAGTTGGGGAAAGATATTGATAGAGCAAGTAGGGGCTCTTATCAAGAGGGAATGACGAGTATATAGAACACTTTGTACTGTTTTCATTTTTATATAAGCTTGGAATTACTTTGTTATATAAAAACATTTGTAAATCAACTTCTTGGTCAACCAGATTCTATTTTTTGTACTATGTCAGTCATCACTGAAGCTGACTCCAATAATTTGGCCACCTGATGCTAAGAACTGACTCACTGGAAAAGACTCTGTTGCTGGGAAAGATTGAAGGCAGCAGGAGAAGGGGACGACAGAGGATGAGATGGTTGGATGGCATCACCACTCGATGGACCTGAGTTTGAGCAAGCTCCGGGAGTTGCTGACGGACAAGGAAGCCTGGTGTGCTGCAGTCCATGGGTTCGCAAAGAATCGGACACGACTGAGCAACTGAACTGAATCATTGGCAAACAGAAAAGCAGGTGTCTGGACAATGTTATGTTTATTTCTTCTCTATTTCTCCCCACAGTGTCCAAAATCCTTCTGCTCCCTATCAAAATCTATTCCAGGA